AAACACATAAAGTCAGGCGGTCTTACCCCGCCTTTCTTCGAATCTTTAGCCTCGACGGCTGCCTTTTTGGCAAGTACCGCCTCCTTGCGCAGCAGCGCCGCGGACTTAGCCGGAGTTTTTTCCTGATCTACCATCCTCAAGGCTTCGTCTGCAAGAGAAAGAATTTAAATTTAGAGAAAATTAAGGCAAGTTTGCAATTAAAATAAAATAACAATCATTCCGGATGAGAAGTGTTCTACCCCTTGGAAACATGGTACTTAGCCCGCAGGCGGACAAGAAGCACTCGTCCTTGAAGAAGTCCGGATGGGGAATCCAGTTTTTGGGTACAATAATATGAGTCCCATCCCCCATGGGATCAGTTGTTGTTTCAAAGAATCCCGGCTCCATTATTTGCTCCAGGGCCTTAGTAGATAGTGCCGGGAGAGGGCATTTGCGTCCAAGGAGAGCCGGTTCAGTATTGTACCGGCGCAGTGTCCGGTTGTGTCTTAGGGTGGGGGAGGAAATCAAATAAAACTTGTCCTTCCACCCGGACCATTTGGACACTTTGTCAAAAGTCATTAAGTATTGGGGCAAGGTAGTCAGAGTGTACCATGCCCCATAGCCGCCTGGAGCCTTGCTCAAATAGTGCATGTGAGCGAAGGCAGAGAAACTGGGGTTCAAGTTCTGAAACTCGCAGGCGGCGATGTAACTTAAGATATTCACCCACGAGTTAGGGGTGAGCTGCCAAACCCCAAGATCGTACCCCTTGAGGATTTTCCTAATCCCGGGGTGGAGGGGGAACCGGAAGCCGGCTTCGATAACCGCCTCGTAGCAGATGAAGTAATCATCTGCATGGTCAATGTCGTCACTCCAGGCCATTACAACATCAGCCGGAGGGACAATAATCTCCCAACCCCTTCCAAAGGGGTGCTTCTCCTTGAAGGCCCTAAACCCGCTATTAAGGAGGGCGATATTACTCGGCAGCATCCGGGTCTTTTTGGGGTTGGGGTTGTCAGCAATCTTGGGCGGCTGCTGATAGTCAGCCGCAAAATCATTCTGGTCGAAGCCGGAAGATTCGGCTCTTGATCCTTGGCCAGCCTCAGCACCGCCGGCTTCGTTAGAGGAGGCGGCTCCCTCGCCGTCTACCTCTCTTATCCCAGAGCTCCCGGAGGTAGAGGGAGCCTCTTCATCAGATCCTCTCTCCTCCCAATCCCTCTGTTCCCCTTCCAGGAAAACCTCATCGGCTGGCACTCTCATAGTGCGCCGGCTCTTAGACCGTCTGGCCGTCTGTTTCGTTCTGGCCATTGTGTCCTGCACAGACACAGAGAGGGAGGAATTCGGAGATGAGCATATTGGTTCTGACAATCTAGAAGAGGCACCCCCTGTTCTAGACTCAGCCGTTCCTGGGGATAGGCTTAGTGTCCTAGGCAGTGCCGAGTGAGTGGATTGGGAACTCATTTATATTCTCTAAAAAAGCCAGGTATACAGGCGGAAAAAATGGTATACAAATTGAAAGGGAGGAAAGCTAAAATGGTACAGGCGGTTACCTCGCTTTTACTCTGGAAAAATCTGAAAACCGCTACAGCCGGTGAACCGGGTGATGAACTGCTAGCACTCGGAAGCTTGAAACTTGATGTGACGCAGACGGGAGCAGAGAAATCTCTCTCTAGAATCTCTCTTTTTCTCTCTCTAAAAAGTCAATGTGAACGTAAAGTGTGAAAAGGAGGGGGGTAACTTTCTATTTATAGAAAGTAAAAGTGGGGGGAAAATTTCTTATTTGAAATTCAAAAATTTTACCCGTTACTGTTCACCTCTGATAGGTGGACACGTGTCACAGGCCCCACGTGATATGCACGTGCGACCTGTGAGGGGCAAATGTTTAGGGTAAAAATACCCTAGACACGTGGACCAATGAGAGGAAGCCACGTGTCGAGCTCAGGATGGCCCACGTGGCCTAACATCCTCTTGACACTTGGCGCCCTCAGATACACCTCTGAAATTGCGGCCTTCAAGGGCCCAAATCCCTAGGAGCGCTGTTTTACGGCGCAGCCCACTGAAAGTCGGTCAAGTGACCTAGATATGGGCACGCTTTCCAAGGACCCTATAAATAGGGAGATATTTCCCACTTTGGGGGACACATTCAATCATTTATTACACCTGCATTCTCTTACATCAGAGAAAGACCTGAGCTTGGAATCCGAGCAAATACCCACCTAAATTTCCGTTCTCTTTATTCCGTTTCAAGTTACTAACTTGACCGTCGGAGGCGGAGCTCCAACCACCCGGAGTCTCCGTTATTTTGCAGGTACAGCTCAGCCGGATCAGACTTTGTGACGTAACCTCCCAAGGGACAAAAACACCCAAAACAAGACTAATATGAGTAGGGTTAGTCAATAGTTAAGATTATTTTGAGTTAAAGTGTTGTTGTGATTAGAATGAGAAGGTGGTTAATAGTTGAGATTATTTATGTTAATTTTTCCATTATTATGTATTTAATTTATTTAGAAAATTAATAGAGGATTAGTAAAAAATAAAGTTTAACTGGTAAAAATGATTTTAGTTTGGTAAAATTACTTTCACTTGAGTAAAATAATTTATGAAAAATAGACAAGAATAATCCCAAATTTGTTCGATTCGCTTAAAATAATCTCAACTTTTGATTATTTTTTAATAATTCGAACTTTAATATGAATTTGCTTCTAATGGTCCCAACTGGTCATAATACTTGTTATAATAAGTCACCTGACACGTGTCAGGACGTGATTGGTAAAAAAAATAATTTAATTTAAAAATTAACTAGAAATAAAAATTTAAAAAAAAATAGAAAAACCTTAAAAGAATTTTTTAAATTTTTTTTTAAAAAAACCTCCACCGGCCAGCCACCGCTGCGCGCTTGCCCTCACGGCTGCCAGCACCTGTCCCGCGCCTGACCTCTAGGCGTAGGCTGGTGGAAATCACTGGTGCAAATGACCCTTCCCTCGATGGCGAAGCTCGGCCACCTTACGCCTTTCCCTTTCCCACGAACAGCCCTTACTCCTCAAATTCCCACACCCAGATGCGCCGCCTTCAATTCCTACCAATTCCACCGCGTAAACACCCCTCCCTCCTCGAAACGACCCTCGTCCCCTTTTCGCATGCCCCCAAAACGTTAAATCAGACTCAAACTACCCACATTACCCAACGGGAAGCCTATCGTGAACAATCCAAAAAATCAAATGGGAAGGGGAGACGAGTGGGTTGAGCTTTGCCGGCGGGGGAGGGGGGAAATGAGGCAGTGCAATGGTCGCCGACAAGCCTTGGAGTCAGCAAGGTGTCGACCGTTGAAGGTGGGAGTTAGGGGGTGGCGGTTGTTATGTTGTATCTGTGGTGGTGTTTTTTTTTTTTTTTTTTAAATAATTTTTTAAAGTTCATTAATTAAACAATTAATAATTAAATCAATAATATAAATTAAAATTAAAATTAAACTTATATTTGACCAATCATGAAATGACGAGTGTATATTAATTTTTTTTTTTCTTAAAAAAAATTACATATTCAATAGGTTACAAGTCACCCGGGACCATTAAAATCAAATTTACCTTAAAGTTCGGATTATTAAAAATAATCAAAAGTTGAGATTTGATTATTTTGGGCGAATCGAGCAAAGTTGGGATTATTCCTATCAATTTTTCCAATAATTTAAGTACAATAAAAATAATTTTAAGTCAATAATAACACATACTTCGTACATCTTATTTTTATACCATTTGAATAATCCTTTTTGATACATTAAATATTTTTTTTTTAAAAAATACATTATATAAGTGATATGATATCGTATGTCTAAATATCCTACATTAACAAAAAGGATTATAAAATTGTATTTAACATTCAAGCCAAAGACTTTATACTAAAATTTTATCAACCATCTAGGTATCGCTCGGGCACAAAACTAGTGTTACCACCTCCGATTTTTTTAGTTGCAACTTTTGAATATTTTATACTCCCTTCGTTTTTAAATACCTGCTCCATTTATATTTTTCACACTATTCATTCGTCCTACTTTGATTAATGTTTGTGATTTATACATAAGAAAAAATATAGTCTTGTCTCTTGTGGGTACTTGTTGAAATCGTCTCGGTGAATACATTATTAATTTTCAATTGTTAGAATTTATACTTATTTATAATTAAGATATTATTAATCAAAGATTAGCATCGACATTCGTGCCCAAGAGAAATGGAGCAAGTATTTCAAAACGGAGGGAGTATCTTTCAAATAATACCCCAAAGTTGCAACAAAAAAAAATCGGAGGTAATATTTAAATTCAAGGCATTTACATTTTATATGATGACATGTGGCATCCTAATGTTGGCTTGACATGGTGTAACATTAAACTTTCTCATTAAAAACTAAGGCATGACATGGAGGATAATAATATTTTCGGCTATTTCATAAAATGACACTGAGCAATTTAAAAATTCACCAAATGTCATCGGATTTTTCAGAATTCACCAAATGCCAGCCAGTTTTTTTAAAAAATTCACTGGGTGCCATTAATGACCAACGGCCGTTAACTCAGTTAGTCATTAGGATTTAATCATGACACTTGTCATGATATGATTGGATCATTTATCTTAATTCATAAAAAAAAAAATTAAAAAAAAGTTAAAAAAAAACACAAAAATTTTATAAAAAAAGAAAACCCCAAAATTTTCCCAGCCACCCCCCACCCCCCACCCCCGCCAAACCCTAGCCCTTCCCCTCATCTCGCCCGAAAACGGCCGGTCACCATCTTAACCACCAACAATCGGCCAGCCGACCCTTTAGCTCCCCACCTGACCCACCGCCGACTAGGGGGTGTTCAAAAATACCCGACCCGTTTGACCCGACCCGCTGACCCGCAAAGTACCCGACGTGTATTTTTTTACTTTATTCCCCAATTTGCGGGTCGGGTACCCGATCCGCTAAAATATCAGTTTCGCGGGTCGGGTAATGGGCCGACCGCTGACTATAACGGGTACCCGTTAAATACCCGTTTATTTTTTTTAGCTGGAAGTCCCTTTAAATCTTTAATCCTTTAGGGAATTAGGGACTTTAGGGTTACTCTTCTTCCTCTTACTCTCTTAGTAGCCGCACACACTAACTCTTCTCTCTTCTCTCTCCTCTTTCACTCAGTCACTCACCCCTCTTCTCTATCTTCTTTCACTCCCTCTCAGGCGACCTCATTCCTCCCTCTTACGCGACCTCCATCAGACCCTCTCAGAGTCTCAGGCGACCTTCATCAGCCGCGCAAGGGTTAGTCTTCGCTCGATTTTTTGGGTTAATTTATTTGTTTGTTAATTCTTTGCATGTTAATTCATAGATTATCATCCTCCCTCTTATGCTTGCTAAATCTTTGATCAGAATTGTTTTCGGAGGACTTGACGGGGGCAAAATTGAATCAAACAAATGGAAATGCAGACTCTGGTGATTTTGAGATTTTGATGAGATCAGTTTTTTTGAGAATAAAATATCAGATATTTTTTTTAATGAAATCAGCAAGTTCTTTTAATAGATAAACACATCACTTTTTGTTTTTGATGAAAAAAGTTAAAGTTTTAATAAAATCAGCAGGTTTAAATCCATATTAACAACATAGTTTTTTTTTTTAAAAAAAACATATATATTAAAATTGCGGGTACCCGCTTTTAGCGGGTCGGGTAATGGGCCGCCCCACTAACTACCCGCACTTCCGGGTACCCGAAAACCCGGGTACCCGGGTACCCGGTTATGAACACCCCTACCGCCGACCCCCGAAACCTCCCTCACAAACTGCCCTGACCGCATAAAACCGCAAACACGGGCATCACCCACCAAAAAACCACCCACACAGCCGTCCCGATCGACCCGAAAACCCCCAATATAAAGCCCCTACCCCCTTCTCCCACCGTCGAAACGACCGATTTTGAGGGTGGGGAAAGGGAGGAGGGGCTTTTTACTGGTGGGTTTTGGGGTCGAGGCGGATGTGTGGGTGGTTTTTGTGGTCGGGGCGGGCAGCATGGGTGGTTTTGGGGGTTGGCGGTGGGTCAGGTGGGGCACTAAAGGGCCGACCAACCGATTTTTGGTGATTAAGGTGGTGGCCGACCGTTATCCGGCGAGATAAGGGGAGGGGCTAGGGTTTGGCGGTGGCTGGGAAAATTTTGGGTTTTTTTTTTCTTTTTTTAATAATTTTTATGAATTAAGATAAATTGTCCAATTATATCATGACATGTGTCATGATTAGCCCCTAATTACTAACGGAGTTAACGGCCGTTGGTCATTAATGGCCTCTGGTGAATTTTTAAAAACTGGGTAGCTTTTGGTGAATTCTGAAAAGTCCGATGGCATTTGGTGAATTTTTAAATTGCTTAGTGGCATTTGGGGAAATAGCTGTAATATTTTTTAACCTTCTTAATTGAAAATGTTTTTTTTTTATTATTATTTTTTTATTTTATTTTGTTTTTAACTACCTCAATTTCATATTATTTGCAACGATTAGGGGTGTTCGCCGTGCGGTTTGGATCATAAAATGCACCAAACCACAAAAGTGCGGTTTGTAATTTTTTCAAACCGCACCAAACCGCACTTTTAAAAAAACCGCACCAAACTGCATCGCACTGTAAGACGCGGTTTGGTGCGGTGCGGTTTGCGGTTTAACCGTATTTTATTAAAATTGTAATTATTCTTTTTAAAACAAAACTTTTATTTTATATTATAATTATTAGTTGATAAAAATATTAAACTCGTTTTATTAACCTTTAATTAACTAATAGTAAAAAATTAGCTCATATATTTTAGTTCTTTTATAAAATTTTAATGAAAATATAGTATAAAAATCGCAAACCGCATTAAAGTGCGGTGCGGTTTGGTCTCAATAATTTTGGAAACCGCACCAAATCGCAAACCGCGGTTTGATCATTTTAAAAAACCGCACCGCAATTTTCAAACCGCAAACCGCACCAAACCACAAAATTGCGGTTTGGTGCGGTCTAAACCGCCGTATAGCCCTAGCAACGATTAAACATTTTTCTTCTTTACTTTATGTCAAATTGTTTCAAATAATATGAAACGAAGGTAGTATATGTGTTACCTCTCTATCTAATTGAAAAATTCTTCATATTTATATAACCTTCCTATTTAACTTTTTTGTTCTTAACTCTTAGTTATTGCACAATAAAATATGTTGTACAATCTAATTAGCAAGAAATTAAGCACACCAATGGTACGTAATTTATTGGATATTAATATTCTAGATTCAAGGTCGTCTGTTCTGATTTACTGAATTGGGCTGAGCTAAACTGAATAAAGTTGAAATGAATTGTTTACGAGAGAATATATTATGAACTAAACTGAAATGATTGAAGTTGAACTGAACTGAAATTAGAGAACAGACCCTCAATACGCATCAAACAATAATATTACATCATTAATTATTTAATCTTGTAGCGTAAAATGAATAAAATTTACCAATGATTGATCTGATCTTACTCAATTCATTTGTTGCTCTAACTCATACCTCTATTAAAAGAAATTACATGCATGCTAAAACTTTAAATTTATAATAACGTGGAGCATCTCTCGGATCAATAACTAACTAGTTTGACTACTAAATCTAATGGAATCACTCAATGATAAATATTTCTACCATAATTGGAGATTTGTGGTACAAACTGCCTTAACCGAGTTTTAGAAATAGTATTCCATATTTGAACCCATCATAATCACAACAATTAACACTAGAGATTTAACAATTGTAAAATGACGAAGTCGTCCACCATCTAGAGCAGCACCCCGAGCTAGAACTAGTTTGAATACAAAATTTAATCTTATGGAAGTGCTCGCAAATGAAATATTTTTATTCCATTTTCTTTTCGGGCCAATCTAATACGAAGCAACAAGTTTATCACAAAGTCTTATATGTGGCTGGCCACACACCAGCCACTATAGGCGTTACTTTGCTAGTGTAATGGGGGTTACTTGATCAGTGTTAAAGGGGTTACTTCATCATTGTTATAAAGTTATTCGGTCAGTGTTATAACGGTTACTTGATTGGTATTACACGGGTTACTTGATCAATGTTATAGGGGTTACTTTAAGTAGTCAAATATATATATATATATATATATATATATATATATATATATATATATATATTGTTAAATCAGAGGCAAATTAATATGAATATACTTCTCTGTATTCTTCTCATTGATATTCACGGCCAAATACATGTATATATACTATTAGGGTAACAAAACCCCTAATATTCTACCATATCTTTTCACAAGATATATTTCCTAAAATATAGCACAATTATATCACAATAATATCTCCAATACCCCCCTCAAGTTGGAGCATCGGGTCACAAATGCCCAACTTGCGGAGTAAAAATTCAAACTTGACCTTATATATATTACTAGGGTAACAAACCCCTAATATTCTACCATATCTTTTCACAAGATATATTTCCTACAATATAGCACAATAATATCTCCAATAAATATATATATATATATATATATATATATAGGGTCAAATGAGAAGTTTCTTAAAATGAGAAGAATGAGAAAGATTTTATATGCATAAAATTTTCACTAAATGTGCATATTTTTTGAATAAAATGTACAAAAAAAAAAAAAAAATTTGACCGAAATTGAATGTGCATATTTTTTGCACATAATGTGCATAAGTTCTCGTTTTTCCAGAATTTGCTAAAAAAGTATCAGGTTCAAAATCAAATATGCACTTTTAGTTCAAAATAAATGCACATTTCATGCTTCTCATTGGATCTATATATTTCAAAAACAAGTTGATAAAATCCACTTCAAGTCAATAATAAAGAGAAATTACCTTACAATTACCAAATTGCTATGTCTATTGTTTGCATTAACGCGGTAACGTCATTGTACTAAAGTATAACTTTTTCTTGAAATCAATTTTTGTTTACTTTATGTAACAATTACGAAGTACTAATGATGTAGGTTACAATATTAATTCAACTTGACCTATAATTTTTTGGAAATGTAAATTATGTTACGTATTAAACTTTAACTCATCAACTCAACTTAGTAACATACACAGCTCAATACCTTCCATATAAATTCCCACCATCACTCTTTTCTTCTAAACCTCTTCTTTTGCGTTGTTTCGCAAATATAAACCCAACCATTTCCACAAATACACATCCTCAACTTTTTCTTCTATAAATTTTATAGCTTAAACAACATAAAAGCACTCATAAAAGCACATTGCAAAAATGGTGGCACATAGTTTTAAGCCGTTGCTAAACATTTTCGTAGTTCTCTTATTAAACATCAACCTTTGTTCGTATTTTTCTCATGCAAATCCAAATTCTGCAAACTCAAGCTCACATGATCTAGTATCACCGTTGAAGGGACTTAAACTAAATGGTTCGTTCGAATTCAGTAACACTAGCGTTGTAGCATATGACTTTGGTAATAGATTTCATTTCCTACCCTTGGCAGTTCTATTACCAAAAACAGTCTCTGATATATCCACGACAATCAAATATGTTTTCGGCTTAGCCAATAACTCAGAGCTCACCATTACAGCAAGAGGCCACGGTCATTCACTTCAAGGTCAATCACAAAATAATGGTGGCATAGTCATCAGCATGGAAGCACTAGAAGAACAAAAGATGTATATTCAAACAGGGGATTTACCCTATGTTGATGTTTCGGGTGGTGAATTATGGATAAATATTCTACATGAGACGGTGAAACAGGGATTAACTCCTAAGTCATGGACCGACTACCTTTATTTATCTGTCGGAGGAACCCTTTCAAATGCTGGGATTGGTGGTCAAGCATTCAAATATGGACCTCAAATAAATAATGTCTATCAATTGGAAGTTGTCACAGGTTAGCTTTATAAACTCTTCGAACATATTCAAGGACTTAAATACTAGAATATCGAATAGTTAAGTTTAAACATGTTAAACATCTTATTATTCAAGTAATACGTATAAGAATGTTACATTCATTAACATCATGCAATCTAATGGAGAATAAAAATATCATGTGCATGTAAGCATGTTAGGAGATTATAAAATTATTTGTTTTTTTTTTTTTTTTTTTTTTTTTTTTTTTTTTTTTTTTAATGGGTGCAGGAAAGGGAGATATAGTGAATTGTTCTGAGAAAGAAAACGCCGATCTCTTTCATGGTGTTCTTGGGGGACTAGGACAGCTTGGTATCATCACTAAGGCTAGAATATCACTTGAACCGGCTCCCAAATTGGTAAGTATCCTATAATTAAGGCTATAACTTATCTGATTCATCATTCTATTGAGAATTGTCTCAGGACTCATCTTACACTCTCACAGGTAAAATGGATTAGAGTGCTCTACTCGAATTTCAAATTATGCACCAAGGATCAAGAGCAACTAATATCGTTGAATAATACATTTGATTATATTCAAGGATTCGTCATGACAGGTTTGAGTTCAACCCTTAGTCGTACAAAACCTCTGCAGGCTGGTCCTCCTTCAAGATCTGAAGGCAAAATTCTCTACTGTCTAGAAGTAGCGAAGTACTTCAATCCTGAGGATGCAAACACAACAAACCAGGTTAGAGTCTCCAAAAACAACACATTTCATATGATGATACATATGCAGTATGCAAATAATTCATTAAAACTAAATCTGTTTTGTTTTAAATGCAGTTTACAGAAAATATTTTGTCATCATTAAACTACATCCCACACACAATTTTTCTAACAGATGTACCATATGTGGATTTCCTCGACCGAGTTCACCTATCAGATTTAAAACTCAAAGAGAAAGATTTAGCGAATGTAACACAACCTTGGTTGACTGTTCTTGTTCCTAAGAGTAACATACAGAGCTTTGCAAAAGAAGTTTTTGGTAATATCCTCGCCAACACAAGTTATAATCCAATCCTTATCTATCCATTCAACCAGTCAAGGTATTTACATATCTAATTTGTTGTTCCCTAAAATTTTATCTAAAAAAAAGAAAAGTAAATGTATGTGTTATATATACATAACAGTTGGAAGCACAACACATCTATGGTCACACCAGCCGAAGATATTATCTACCTAGCAGCATTTCTAACATCTGCACCCTCATCTTCTTCGGGACCAGATGGACTTGATAACATTTTAACAATCAATAAAAGAATACTAGATTTCTGTGAGACGGCCAACCTGGGGGTAAAGCAATATCTTCCGTTTTATGAAACTCAAGATGAATGGCGAGCTCATTTTGGGGATAGATGGGAAGTTTTTGCACAGAGGAAATCAACTTTCGACCCTCTATCAATACTTGCACCAGGGCAAAGAATCTTCAGCAGAGGACCAGTTTCTTCATGATATTGGTTGCCAAGCACATCACCTTAATTAAGAGCTTGATTCTGTGACAAGACAACAACCATATATCTACAACCTACAAGTTCATGGAATACAACCTTTATTGATGTGCACAACTGAAGCTTTTTCATTCGAAACTTTTTTTTTTAATCAAGAAATCCAATTATTTTTGTATGAAATTATATATAAGTCGAAGGAAATTCATTTGCATCATATGCCAATGAGAGCATAAGGTCAATTAGACATCTTGAAGACCAAGAAAACTTAAGTTTTTCAATACAGATTATATGGCAATGGTAACCAAAGGATGTACGTTGAAATCGACCTACAAAAAATGGCACAACAATTTTACTTTTTAGCAGTCAAAGTTAAAAAGAAGCATATAACCATGAAAGATTAGACACACTAGGGTCTGTTCTCTTCAGCTTATTTTCAGTACAGTTCAGTCTAGGTTTAATCAGTTCAGTTCAGTTCTTAATTTCCTTCTCTCATAAAATATTCATTTCATTCAGCTCCAATAAGTTTAGTTTAGTTCAGTTCAACTCATTAAATCAGAACAGACCCTGAAGGTGTTATAATCATAACATTCCATGAAAGATTAGACATGATAAATATGTTACAGTCAAACATTTTAACAAGTTACATATTAGCTTTATGAAGGCAACAAACATAATTAGCATATACTAGTATTTTTAAAAAAAAAAAAAAATGTACTGTATATTAAAAAACAATCACTTCAATTATATTTAAAAAATATCACAACCCGGTACATATAATACCCAATCCGTTTTTATCCCGGGAGCCAAATATCCAAACCGTTTAACTAGACACAATATTGACCCACAACCGGAATTGACATTGCAACCTGGATTTCTTTATTGTGTAACTTCATTTCACAATTGGTAGCCCAAAGAAGGATGGGAGTGACAACCTAGCGAAGAGGGAAAAAATATTTAATTACTTACTGATTATGACTGATGAGTAACCTATGCTGTACATAAAATGCTGGCAAGTGCGAAAAAAATTTTAAATACAAGATATCAGAACTTATGAGCAGAATCTAGGTAATGATCTGGGATTCATATTGTTGGATGATTTTGATCTCATCATCTTCGCTACCTGAGTTTGCATTTTCTGACACACTTTCTCCAATTCTGTCACCCTGCATTGCATTCCTTGTAAATGTGCTCTGATGTTTTCATTCTCTGTCATGACATCGAATTTTCCTGCATACAGCACAATCTGTTGACTTGATTCATCCTTTCGGCTTCTGGCTCCACCTCCAGTACCAGGGGAAGAGGAGCATGATTTTGGGTTATTTGCATCATGGAGCAAACTTTTAAGCTTTGTTTGCTGAGAGAGAAGAGCTTGCACTGTAGAACTTGATGGGAACTTTGCGTTTTTTGAGAGGTGAACACAGGCTTCTGCTGACAGCTTCTCATAGTTCAAAGCAGAACAAATGTTAAATGTTTCTTCTTCGGTTAAATCAGTATGTACCTACACAACAACAAATTTCTTGTCTGGTTATTTCAAGATGAGAAGAAACCGCCATAACAAGCTAACTGTACAATATAAATTTCCAGATGATAACATAATAAAGAATCAAATGCAAATTACCTCCAAGTACATATCCATGGCATGGTACATTTCATCATAAGAGTCTCTTGACGAGTCTGGTAATGCAGTTGCAAGTGCAATGAATTTAGAAGGTTTTAAACATGGATCTGGGGCTACTTCTGCCAAATACGAATCCAACAAGTGGGATACTCTGATGATTCTATCATTTGAAACCTTAGGCAGACCGCCGCCAAGGAATGATTTCAGTAACCTCAAAACAAGGTTCACATCATATAAATAGTTCATTCCGTGTGGAGAAGGAACGAGGAGGCTATCCAATGTTGCTTCATCCATTCTTAAGCCAATTATACCTTCTAATCTACTTCTGGTGCATTTACTTACGTTAAGGTTTAGCAAAATTCTCAAAAGCCCCATCAAATTCTTGAAAGAAACAGACCAGTGATCAAGGGAACATAAATTGCTGACGACCATCTCAATTATTCTACACTTCTCATCAGATTGGGCAGAAATGAATTTCAATTTCTGGTAATGGAGGAGGAACCTACCTATCATCCCATGATCAAGCTTCCGAGAAACCATATTTTTGACAGCCAGTTCAACCAGATTCTGATTTAGTACTGATAGATCTTCAAACCACCAATTTGCTCGAGAGCAGCTTGTTTTCAAGCTCTCAGTACTCCGAGAATCACATGAGATCCGAAAACCAAAGCTCTCAGGTGAAGAAGTAGACGGACATGGGCTAGTTTCAGAAGCCACTGCCAACCTTCCAACAAGAGTATCCAAACATTTCTGAACTACACTGGCGGTTTTGACATCTTCGGGCATATTTTGGTTTTGGTTTTGCTTTAAAGCCAACAAAAGATCAGACCAAGTCCAGTAGCTTATCTCTTCAAGTGACTTTTCAGTGAGCTCAATTAGATTCTCTGTCCCGGACACAGACCTGCTCATTTCCATGAAGTAAGCCGCAGAATGAAGGAAGCTTAAATTAGTCGGACTTATTTCAATGCTGCCATTATTGTAACAAAACCTTGCAACCAGCTCGAATGTCTCAGCTCCGCCGGGGAAGTCATGAAATATTACTTTAAAACTACTCCCACTGCTTGCAGATTTACCAAATAAATGGCTTAATCTACCCGAGAAAGAAGATATACGTTTCTGCAACACCAAAGTATGGATGAAATGTGATTATCAAACTGTTAAAAATCAGAGTACTACTTACAACAAGAAAAGATTGATGGGGAACTAGTTTTACAACTACTCAAGCATTTCAAGAAATAAAGTCATACTTCTCTTCTTACTTCTCTACTAGGGTGTTAAAGGAGACTGCATAAGACTGCTGAAAGTCGTTATACCCTCATAAACCTTGTGATTACTAACAAAGTTACTTAAGCACATACCTAAGCTAATTCATATTCTTCTTTATCTTACCTCAACTCCTCAAGTACCCTTTTCAGATCTTCAACACTATCACAACGTTATGGAAACTCTGACACTCAAATTTAAAATAATGAAACCTTCTCACAAAGGAACCGAGTCTAGCACTTGGACACAAACCCATGCCCGAGTAACATAGTTCGAGGAAGCGTAGGGCCATAAGGGGGGAGGCAAAATGAATGCTCTGAGCATAAACAATAGTCCCTTTCAAGAGCAGTAAAAGAAACAGACAAAGGCACTCCAACCAGAAAGAGGATAATTATAGCAAAGCAGAACCCAAAGTTCAAAATCATAACCTCTTTTACTTTTGCTCATGATATATGCGAAAACTACCGTACAGAAAAGGGAATAATACTGATGACAATTGGACCCCACCACACTGTAATTTTGGTTGCATATTAAATTATGGACAGCCTATACTCCATTTTTGAAAGGGAAATGTATAGCAGCATCGAAATCTACTACTCACAACTGGGTATAATCTTTCTAGACTTTTAAGCATAGTGTTGATAATTTGTACTAGAATAATTAAAATTTCTCATCAATTGCTAAGTATAGATCAAATATTGATATCAAAATCATGAAACATCTTTCGCATAACAGCTGAGCCGAACAATTGGACATGGACCAATTCCATGTAACATATTCACACATATTGAGTAGTAAATTAAGCTAAAAAGCTCAAACATTCTACAATTTTGAAGTGATTGTTTAATTAGAAAATCAAATAAAAGAACTGAGAAATTGGCTCATATGAACAAGACTATAAAAACATATGAATCAAAGTGATTGTTTAATTAGAAAATCAAATAAAAGAACTGAGAAATTGGCTCATATGAACAAGACTATAAAAACATATGAATCAAATATAAAGCGAATCTATAATTTAAGTACAGAAATTATGAATTTAACCCAAAAAGTTGGGAAAAAAGCTAGTCAATGAGCAAAAGAAGATTTACCTTATCTACCATGAAAACAGCTTCACCATTGACATCTGTTATGGGTCCAGCCCAATTTGTGGTAAAATGTATTTTGTATTTGGCCCATTTTACTTGGTCAAATTTTATTACATTTTGCTAGTTTGTAGTAAGTCTTTTTGGGCTTATTTTTGGTGGCTTTCTTAGAAAGCTTTGGGGTAAAATTTTTGTGAGATTAGGGCAGCAGCCAAGTGAAGTGAGGAGTGGAATTCATTCACAAAAAATGACAACACACAAAAGAGAGAGAAAGTGAGTATTTCATTTTCGGATTTTTCTGGACAGCCTTTAGAGATTTGTCCGTTGCCAGAAATTCAACCGTTGGATCATCCTCAAATTTTGACAGCTTGTTCCTGACATCAAGGGCTTCATTTTGGACGGTGGAGATCGTCGTTTGAGCTCTAGTTTGGTCAGAATCGTCCTTGGACAGAAGCACTGTTTTTGGGTGATTTCTACTCCTCTTGTTCTCTAATTTTCATCTCTTATTGTTTGTTGTTGTTGATGGGTGTATAAACCTTTTGTAGACTGATTTGGGTTTATTTTACCCTCAACTATCAATAAGAGAAGTTAGGGTGGACTCCTTAACGGTCCCGTGGTTTTTTATCCTTCACATCGAAGGGGTTTTCCACGTAAAAGTCTCGTGTGTTGATTATTATCTTTTCTTCCTATTATTGTTGGTGCTATTGTTATTTTGCTACTGCATTATTGCTGGTTGTGTGTGTGGTTATTTGGTTGTGAAATAATTTGGGTTGATTTGTTTGAATTATTGGTTGATTGTCTTGAGTTGGTGATTTTGTGAGAGTCGTAGTGACCTCTTCCGATCCCTACAACTTGGTATCAGAGCCGTGGTTAATATAATCACATTATGGAGTCGAGTAGTAGTAGCTCGATGGTTAAATTGACATCAACTAATTATTCAATTTGGAGACCTATGATGGAAGACTTGTTATATTGCAAGGACTTGTTTGACCCTATTGACTCTGTCACTGATAAAGATGGAAATGTTTCTAAACCATCTAAACCGGATAAAATGGAAGTTAAAGATTGGGAAAAGTTGAAAAGGAAGACTTTGGGGACAATTAGGCAATGGGTTGATATTAGCATATTCAACCATGTGTCACAAGAGTCCGACCCTTATGAGTTGTGGAAGAAGTTAGAAGGTCTTTATGAAAGGAAGACCGCCCATAATAAAGCTTCATTGATTAAAAGACTTGTTAATTTGAAATTGAAAAATGGAAAGTCTGTTTCTGAGCATCTTAATGATTTTCAGGATATTATTAACAAGTTGACTACTATGAAAGTTACTCTTGATGATGAGCTGCAGGCTTTGTTTTTGTTGAGTTCTTTGCCAGATAGTTGGGAGACCTTGGTTGTGACTATTAGTAACTCTGCTCCAGATGGTGTGTTATCTTTGGATGTGATCAAAGATAGCATGTTTAATGAAGAAATCAGAAGAAAGGAGATGGGAGTTGATAATTCACATGCTCTTGTTGTTGAGAATAGAGGAAGAGGCAAGAGTAAGGGTCCCAAAGGTCGTGATAACTCAAGGAGTAGGTCCAAATCCAATGATGGAAGAAATGTGAATACCTGCCACTACTGCAAGAAGCCTGGTCATATCAAGAAGTATTGTTTCCGTTTGAAAAAGGAACAGAGAAAGAAGAATGATTCACAAAAAGAGGGAGATGATAAAAACACTGCAGCAACAGCTTCCAAAAGTGATGATGAGGTCACTTTGATTTGTGCAACTAGTGAGTGTCATCATGTTGACAGTTCAGACACAGAGTGGTTAGTAGATACAGGGGCTTCATACCATTGTGTTCCCAAGAGAGAGTACTTCATGAACTACAAGTCTGGTGATTTTGGTAGTGTGAAGATGGGAAATCAGAGCTCAGCAAGCATTGTTGGGCTAGGTGATATTCGTGTGAAGACAAGTGTTGGGTGCGTGCTTACATTGAAGAATGTGCGCCATATTCCTGATCTACGCCTTAATTTGTTGTCTGCTAATGTTCTTGATTTAGAGGGTTTCCGACATACCTTTGGTGATGGTAAGTGGAAGTTGTCTAAGGGTTCGATGACAGTCGCTCGGGGTGAGTTGTGTTGCTCTTTGTACAAGACATATTTGAGTGTATGTTCTGGTGAGATTAATGCAGTGGAAGAGAAGAATTCTCCTAATTTGTGGCATCGAAGATTGGGACATATGAGTGACAAGGGATTAAAACTTTTAGCAGGTAAAACATTGATTCCTGTTGATAAAACTGTTTCTCTTGACCCTTGTGATCATTGTTTGGCAGGAAAGCAGCATAGAGCTTTCTTTTCCAGGAAGTCTACTAGAAAGCAAGCCAAGTTGGAGTTAGTACACTCCGATGTTTGTGGTCCCATTGAAGTTGAATCTCTTGGTGGCAATAGATATTTTGTCACTTTCATTGATGATGCTACTCGAAGAACTTGGGTGTATATGTTGAAGACAAAATGCCAAGTGTTCGAGGTCTTCCAGAAATTTCATTCCATGGTAGAAAGGGAGACAGAAAGAAAGTTGAAGCGTCTTCGAACTGACAATGGTGGTGAGTACACTTCGAAAGAGTTCAAGTATTATTGCTCACAGCATGGCATAAGACATGAGAAGACAGAGCCTGGTACACCACAACACAATGGAGTTGCAGAAAGGATGAACAGAACCATTATGGAGAAAGTGAGATGTATGCTTAGAATGTCTGACCTTCCTAAGACATTCTGGGCTGAAGCAGTTCAGTGTGCCGTTTATTTGATCAACCGTTCTCCATCAGTTCCTCTTGGTTTTGACATTCCTGATAGAGCATGGAAAGGGTGTGATCCTTCATATTCACACTTGAGAGTCTTTGGATGCAAGGCATTCATGCATGTGCCGAAAGATCAAAGATCGAAGCTTGATTCCAAGACTAATCCATGTGTCTTTGTTGGCTATGGTGATGAAGAGTATGGTTTCAGACTATATGATCCTGAAAAAAAGAAGGTTGTGAGAAGTAGAGATGTAGTATTCTTTGAGCATGAGAAGGGTGCAGATCTTCTGAGTACAAGGTATTCTTCTACTTCAGAATTGTCTTTTGATACTACTGATGATGTTTCTTCTCCTACACCTGTAAATCAGCCTGCAAATGAGAATGTTGAGGAGAATCATGAAGATGTTGGTGAGGTACAACCTGATGGTGATGTACCAATTCATCATAATGATGATGGCGTTCATGAGGATGATGGTGTTGATCATGATGAGTCTTCATCAAATGAGGAAGAAGTACATGAAGAGGTTCATGAGCAGGGGGAGCAACCTACCCCTCAAGTTGTGGATACACATGTTCGAAGGTCAACCAGAGAGCACAAGCCTTCAACAAGGTATCCAAGCTCAGAGTTCATTCTACTCACCGAGGATGGAGAGCCAGAAAATTATCGAGAAGTGTTGTCTCTTGAAGAGAAAGATTTGTGGCTCGATGCAATGAAGGAAGAAATGGATTCCTTACAGAAGAATGAAACTTATGAGTTGGTGAAGCCTCTCAAGGGTAAGAAAGTCTTGAAAAACAGGTGGGTTTTCAAGAACAAGAAAGATGGTGAGAAGATTGTGAAGAGGAAAGCCAGATTGGTGGTCAAGGGATGTAACCAGAAAAAGGGCATTGACTTTGATGAGATCTTCTCTCCAGTTGTCAAAATGACTTCTATCAGAACTGTGCTAGGGTTAGCTGCAAGTCTTGATCTTGAGTTAGAACAGCTTGATGTTAAAACTGCCTTTTTACATGGTGACTTGCATGAAGAAATCTACATGGAGCAACCTGAAGGATTTGAGGAAAAGGGGAAAGAAAATCTTGTTTGCAAGTTAAAAAAGAGTCTTTATGGGCTTAAACAGGCACCAAGGCAGTGGTACCGAAAATTTGATTCGTTTATGACAAGTAATGGTTATAAGCGGACTTCTGCAGATCCTTGTGTGTACTTTAAGAGGTTCCCTGGTGGCAAGTTCATTATCCTTCTTTTGTATGTAGATGATATGCTGATAGTTGGACAAGATTCAGAGATGATTAGCAACTTGAAGAAAAACTTGTCCAAGTCATTTGACATGAAAGACTTGGGTCCCGCAAAGCAAATCTTAGGCATGGAGATTGCTCGTGATAGGAAAGCGGGAAAATTATGGCTATCACAAGAAAAGTATATTGAACGGGTTCTTGAAAGGTTCAATATGAAGCATGCCAAGCCTGTTAGTACACCACTTGCACCACATTTCAAGCTAAGCAAGAAAGCTTGTCCTACAACAGAGAAGGAGAAAGCAAGTATGTCTTCTATTCCATATTCTTCTGCTGTTGGTTCTTTGATGTATGCTATGGTTTGTACTAGGCCAGATATTGCACATTCTGTTGGATTAGTGAGTAGATACTTATCCAATCCGGGTAAGGCTCATTGGGAAGCAGTAAAGTGGATCTTCAGATACTTGCGGGGCACTTCCAAGTTAAGTTTGTGTTATGGAAGTGGCAAACCTTTACTTGAAGGATATACAGATGCAGACATGGCAGGTGATCTTGATAACAGAAAGTCTACCTCAGGTTATGTGTTTACTTTTTCAGGGGGAGCCATCTCATGGCAATCCAAGCTACAAAAATGTGTAGCATTGTCAACAACTGAGGCAGAGTATATTGCAGCTGTGGAAGCTGGCAAAGAGATGCTATGGCTTAAAAGGTTCCTTCGTGAGTTGGGTTTGAAGCAAGGAGAATATGTAGTGCTTTGTGATAGTCAAAGTGCTATGGATTTGAGTAAGAATGCAATGTACCATTCTCGTACCAAGCATATTGATGTTCGATATCATTGGTTACGAGATGTGATTGAAGAAAGGCATTTGAAACTGAAGAAAGTCCACACCGACAAGAATGGTGCAGATATGTTGACTAAGATGGTTCCCGGAAGCAAGCTTGATGTTTGTAGCAAGCTTGTGGGAATGAGCTTCAAGTGATGCTTGAAGCGTGTTGGTCTTCCCCGTGTTGGGCTGGAGGGGGAGATTGTTATGGGTCCAGCCCAATTTGTGGTAAAATGTATTTTGTATTTGGCCCATTTTACTTGGTCAAATTTTATTACATTTTGCTAGTTTGTAGTAAGTCTTTTTGGGCTTATTTTTGGTGGCTTTCTTAGAAAGCTTTGGGGTAAAATTTTTGTGAGATTAGGGCAGCAGCCAAGTGAAGTGAGGAGTGGAATTCATTCACAAAAAATGACAACACACAAAAGAGAGAGAAAGTGAGTATTTCATTTTCGGATTTTTCTGGACAGCCTTTAGAGATTTGTCCGTTGCCAGAAATTCAACCGTTGGATCATCCTCAAATTTTGACAGCTTGTTCCTGACATCAAGGGCTTCATTTTGGACGGTGGAGATCGTCGTTTGAGCTCTAGTTTGGTCAGAATCGTCCTTGGACAGAAGCACTGTTTTTGGGTGATTTCTACTCCTCTTGTTCTCTAATTTTCATCTCTTATTGTTTGTTGTTGTTGATGGGTGTATAAACCTTTTGTAGACTGATTTGGGTTTATTTTACCCTCAACTATCAATAAGAGAAGTTAGGGTGGACTCCTTAACGGTCCCGTGGTTTTTTATCCTTCACATCGAAGGGGTTTTCCACGTAAAAGTCTCGTGTGTTGATTATTATCTTTTCTTCCTATTATTGTTGGTGCTATTGTTATTTTGCTACTGCATTATTGCTGGTTGTGTGTGTGGTTATTTGGTTGTGAAATAATTTGGGTTGATTTGTTTGAATTATTGGTTGATTGTCTTGAGTTGGTGATTTTGTGAGAGTCGTAGTGACCTCTTCCGATCCCTACAACATCAACTTCAAGATCACAAAAACTATCCATCACCCATATACAGAAGTACAAAACCCACTTCAAATCACTGAAAATTCTTATTTAAAATCAAGAATTAATTGTACCCAAATGAAAAAATAGATGCAAAAATGGCAAAAGTTCGCAAAGTCACAGGACGAAATTTAGCAGGGGATGACAATAAGATAAGCACATGAAAGGTGGGGTTGTTAAATTGGGCTAAGTATTAACTATAATTCAGAAGACAAAATCAGAGAAGTAAGTAAAAAAACTGGCAACAAAAAATGGGGAGATTTAGTAGTTAAATAATTGAAAAGAAATTGGAAAAAAGGATTTTGGAGAGGGAGTTGTTGTGGTCGTTGTGTGCCCACTACTCTACTGTCTGACATTCCTGCAACAAAACTTTGTTTTTGGGTTTAAATTTACTTTATTTTAAGTTTTTAACACTATTTTCGTGATCCAAGCTTAACAAATCATGTGGATCGCTGGTTTCCTTTTTTGACACAAAATCTTGACCGTCTATAAAAAAGAGATTTTTAAAAAAAATTATGTTTGGGTCTATTTAGAGGTGATCATCAAGGACCCGATTCGATGGTCCGATCCATTCGGCCCAAAAATTTGCAGATTTGGGCAATCCTATAAAAACTAACGTTGTTTAATTTAGATATGAGATCCGAACTGATTTAAAAATTTTGGATATTTGAATTTTCAGATTGGAGAAATTGCAATCCGAATACAATTCAAAATTTTGCATAACCAGATTTTCATATCAGATCTCCGAAATTTTGGATTGGGTAAATTTTTTGAAAAAATTATGATTCGTATTGGATTCGAAAACCCGAATTATTTTTTGGATATTTGATCCAAAATATCTAAAACCATAAAACCGGATCGGATATCCGAAATTTCGATCAGATCATCTTATTTTAGGATCAAATTGAACACCCCTAATAAATACTACTAGTTTTGTTTTGTTTTTTTTTGTTAAGTGTAACGCATATATATAAATTAATTATTTTATTTATTTTAATCATTAAAATGATTTATTTTGTTTTGGGTGTTTTTGTCCCTCGGGAGAGTTACGGCTCGAAGACTGGTCCGACTCGAGTTGTACCTGTAAAAACAACGGAGAGTCCTGGTGGTAGGAGCTCCGCCTCCGAAGATCTAGTTAGAACTTGAATGAAAGAAAAAAGTGCAGAAATTTAGGTTGGATTTTCTCGGATTCCGAGATCAGGTGTTCTCTGATGAGAGAGAAAACGGATGTAATAAATAATTGAATGTGTCCCAAAAATGAGAGAAAAATCTCCCTAATGGGTCATTCTGGAAAAGCGCCCCTCCCTAGGTCACTCTGACCTAGGTTTTGTGAGCTGCGCCGCAATTGCGGCTTTCTCGGGAATTCTTCTAATGTATCTGAGGCTGCCACGTGTCAACTGGTGAGTGGCCTAAGATGACATGTCCAGCCTTGGCACATGGACCTCTCTGATTGGTCCACATGTCTAGGGTATTTTTACCCTAAACATTTGCCACTCACAGGGGTGACGTGGCAGGCCACGTGATGCTTGTGACACGCGTCCCCACCGTGAGTGGTGAACTGTACAACGGCTATTAGCCTTCTGGGGTGTGACGGGGATGCCCCCATTTTACCCCTATATAAATAGGGTTTTACCCCCCTTCTCTCCCCTCATTTACAATCTTTGAGAAGTTTTCTAGAGAGAGAAAGTGAGATTCTAGTGAGAGATACTCTGATCTCGGTTGCATTAGATCTTCAAGATTTCCGAGTGCTTACTTAAAACACCCGGTCACCGTCTGTTGCAGTTTTTAGATAATTCAAAGCTAAAGTAAGGTAACCGCCTGTACCCTCTTTCAGCTTTTTTTTTTTTTTTTTTTTTTTTTTTTTTTTTTTTAATTTTCGTCTGTATACATTCTTGTTCCGTCATTATACATATTATCTAAAAATAAAAATGGACTCTCAATCCACACACACGACATTGCCTAGGACATTCAGCCAATCATCCGGTACGGCTGAATCTAGAAAAGGGGGTGCCTTTTCTAGACTGTCGGAACTGCTGTGCTCATCCCCGAATTCCTCCCTCACTGTGTCTGTTCAGGACACAATGGCAAGAGTTAAGCAAACGAATTTGAAGCCGAGAAGTCAGCGCGCTAGGGAAGTGCCCACAGGCGAGGTTGTTCTAGATGGGGAACAGGAGGAGTCGGAGGAGCAAAGTGGTTCCGATGATGAGGCTCCCTCTTCCCCAAGTAGTTCAAGTGTAATGGAGGTAGGCGGTGAAGAGGCCACCTCCTCTCATGGGTCAGGGGTTGAGTCAGGCGGTGACGAAGCCGCGGAAAGATCGGGATCAGAGGCATCTGGCTCCGAATGAGACGATTTTGCAGCTGACTACCAGCAGCCGGCTAAAGCTTTAACTTTCCCTGACCCCAAAAAGACTAGGATGCTGCCGGGTGACATTGTCTTGTTACAGAGCGGCTTTGAATCTTTCAAAGAGAACCACCCCTTTGGAAAGGGGTGGATAATTGAGGTCCCGCCTGGGAATGCAGTAATGGCTTGGGGCAATGGGATAGAAAATGATGATAATTACTTCGTCTGCTACGAGGCGGTAATTGCAGCCGGACTCCGCTTCCCTCTTCATAGGGGGATTAGAAAAATTCTTAAGGGGTACGATGTAGGCGTCTGACAGCTCACCCCAAATTCGTGGGTCAATATTTTGAGCTACATCGCCGCCTGCGAGTTTCAGGATTTGGAGCCCAGCTTCGCCGCCTTTGTTCACATGCATTACATGAGCAAAGCCCTAGGCGGCCATGGGGCGTGGTATACTCTTACCACCCTTCCCCAATATCTGATGTCTTTGGACAAAGTGTCCAAATGGACCGACTGGAAGGAGAAATTTAATTTGATATCCTCTCCAAGGGTGAGTCACAACCGGACCCTCCGCCGGTACAATAGAGAACCAACTCTTCTAGGTAGGAAGTGTGCCCTCCCTCGCATCTCTTCCAAAGCTTACGAGCAAATAATGGAGCTGGGATTTTTTGAGACCACGACTGAGTCCTTAGGGGATGGGACTCACATAGTCGTACCAAAGAACTAGATCCCCCATCCGGATTTTTTCAAGGATGAGAGATTCCTGTCCGCCTGCGGACTTAACACGATGTTAGCAAGGGAAGACCCACTATTCATTCGGAAAATTGTCGTCTCTGCTTATATACTTCAATTCTTTTAATTATTTTTCCTAACTGTTTGTTTGCTCCTTGTAGAAGAAGCGCTGAAAATGGTGGACCCAGAGACAACTCCAGCTAATTCTGTCGCGTTGCTGCGCAAGGAACAGCTGCAAGCCAAAAAGGCAGTAGTCGAGGCCAAGGAGGCTAAGAAGGGCGGGGTAAGACCGCCTTACCTATTGTTTTTACTTTTGCTTTTTGTCCAACATTCTGCCGGCCGTAACCTTTTTGGCTTTTTCTCTGCAGAGTGTTGGAAAAACTATTCCCCGCTGAATCTCAAAACTAATTAAGAGACTGGGTAAGGAGTTGGAAAAAACTCCCTCTACTAAGGCTTCCAGGAAGAACCCTTCCTAGATAACCTCTTCTGCCAACCCGGATTGTCCTACAACCGGGGGCAAAACTCCTGCTGCTATGAGGACTCTGAGTGAAAACTAAGAGCGCTAAAAAAATGTGTTGGATGCCTCTACAGCATAAAAGAGGTGGCCAGCCACCCAATGTTGAAGTCGGTGCGGCAACGACTAGGGAGGGGGAAACTTCACAACCCCATACTCAAACCCAAACACAAGGTAAGAATCAGATTGAACTTCCTTGGCCGCTTGACTTTATGCGAGTCAAGACTAAGGTCGATCCCTCTTGAGGTTCAATTAGCAGCCGACAACGAATGAATGCCAACTATGCTGCATCCCTCTCACCAAGTACTTCTTATGGTGCAGATGTTACCTCCGATGAGCCGGATCTGCCTGGATTTGCCAAGCGGATGGTGAGGACCCTCACCCCGTTAGAGAATAATTCCGTGCATGATCTGCAGGTGGTGGACTTCGACCGGATAATGGGCCAGCTGGCGGAGGTAAGTTGATCTCAACTTAACATTATGCTTTCTTCTTTAATTTTGTTAAGTATTAAACTTTCCGGCTGACCTCTTCTTTTGAGGTGATGCTGAGAGTGGATGGGTTACGTGGCCCCTTCATGCGCAAGCAAGAAGAGGTAAATGATGCAAAAAAGAGGGCCACTCAAAATCTCAACTCTGCTGAATATGCTAACTTTATGTGCAAATTAAAGATTAAAGTAGTAGAGTTGAAACAGGAGGAGTTGATCCGGAACCTGACGGCTACTAACGATGCTGCTAACAACCGGGCCAATGACCTTGAGCAACAACTGAAAAATGCTCAATCTGATCTCAAGGCATTTGAGGGAGCTGATCAAGAGAACTCAAAGCCGGGTGGACGTCGCTCGGTTGGGGGTGGAGATGGTCAACTGAGGAACCAGCAATGGGATGAGATCGCTAAAGAGCAAAGCTGGATGGTCGAGAAAAATGAGCGAGACAATGAGGCCCGCCTGAAGATCTCTTGGGGTCTCCTCTACCCAGACGTAGACTTTGAAGTCTACAAACTTAGTTATGACTATGCCACTGCGGTGTATGATGCCTAAGTGCTAGGAGAGGCAGCTCCACCTCAATTCAAGGCCTAGGCAGCTGAGTTGGGATATGAAGTCTCAAATGATTAAGGGGAGCAAGCTGAAGGCCAAGGGAATCAAGCCCTCCAGCCCCAAACGGCTGATGCCAATGTTGAGGCCCCAACCAATCAATCCCAGGCGGCTGATGCAACTGAAGGATCCCTCCCCGCCGGTCAGGACCAGCCAGAGCAGCAGCCTCAACAACTTTGATCCAGCCACCCGTTCTTCTGCGGCAGTATGCCATTTATATTTCTTTCCGGCCTGCGTGCCGAGTAATGTTGTAGTTTTACCGACTATGGAGTCGGGTCAACAATTTTTCTTTTCTTTTCACCGGATGTGTATTCGGTTCACAATATTATGTGGCATTTATGTCGATTTCTATTTATGAAGTATTCCGACTTAGTCGGTTTTTCACATATTGCATTTGCGTTTGAATTTTGCATATATACTTGATATTTTGCCTAACTTATGAAAAGAATGTTGTAGATAGTAATCCGGCTGTTCTTGGCCTTGGACGGTTGTGTGGTTGATTTAATTTTAAATTGATTGATTGGCTTGGAAACGTCTAATACTTTAAAGAGTATGAGATGTTTATACGCCAATCAATAACAATGGTGATTGCCCCAAACCAAGTGCACATCCGGCCATTGAAGCAGGCATTCCCACCCTCTTACCTAGGCGGTAGATAACCGTCTAGGGTGGTTGCATAACCATTCCACAAAGCTCATT